ATTATAAGAACTAAAGGAAATGTTTTGAACAGATTTTGGCACCGCTACCAATTGGGTTCGCAGTGTTCTTAGTTCACTTGGCTACCATTCCGATCACCGGCACCGGCATCAACCCTGCTCGGAGTTTGGGCGCTGCCATCATCTACAACAACGAGAAAGCCTGGGATGACCACGTGGGTGTTTTAATCATAATGTTAATGTTAATGTTGGGTTAATTAAACCATATTTGATTTTTGTGTTTTGCAGTGGATTTTCTGGGTTGGACCGTTCATTGGAGCAGGATTGGCAGCTTTGTACCACCAGGTGGTGATCAGAGCCATACCCTTCAAGTCCAAGTGAAGATTTTCAGATTATGGTTAAATAATAATGCCTTTGTTCATCATCAATCAATTGTCGAAATCCCGATTTAATTTTATGCCTACCTCCTCGTGATCTATGTTTTTGTGTGAAATGAAGTGTGAATTTAATGGATTAAGTGTTCGAGATTTGTGATCATAAAAACTCTTCTCCAAATAAAATGAATATAATTATATTATATTTAGGCTAAATTAATAAAAAAAATTATACATAAATTTTCAAAACCTTTAATAATACTCTTAAAAAACCAAGGCCCAACCAGCTAATGCCATGTGGAGTGTTGTCCCAATAGCTTTACAAGTGTATGGCCAACCATCAGCTGGCGGCTGCAGCCCAACGGATGATTCATTGTCATTCCATTTCTCCCACATCTCCTTCAAAAAATTATATTTATTTGGTCATATTTTCTTTTCATTCCGATTTTAATTTAAATCCATGTATTTTTAGTAAGAGGTCAATTTAGAAAAAACAAACAAAATAAATAATAACAATAATTTTCTAGATAAAAAAAGGTATATTTCCAAAACTTTTAGATTAAATATTAATAGATGCTAAAAAAAAATTTATACACCGCCTCAAGTTTATGTGTGTTAATTTATTTTTAATAATTTAACCTTGATATATTAAACGGATTGCAGGAGGTCGATAACATTAGTTATCATCAACTCATCGTTTTTTAATTAATTCCACATTAATTAATCTTCTTTTAAAATTTAGATTAGTTATTTATTTACTCTCGACAAATAATAAATATTTATTTTCTTTCCACCAATATTTCATTTTTTTTTATTTTTTTCTTTTTCAATATCTAATTTATCATTTATTTGAATTGCAATATTCATCGTATATCATAACATAAATTTAGTCTTATGAAATAAAAAAGTCAAAAGAATTCGGTACATATAGCCTTTGGACAATAATGGTATATAAACGTATGCTTTTATTTAAAAAAAAAACAATATTATCCAATTAAAACCCTTAAAGTAAACAATAATACATCAAATTTCCACAAAATTTTCAGTCCTTATTCATATCCAATTAAATTCCAGCCACAGATTCATCTCGAAACTTCCAACTCGGTCCCAACTGGTGAAATTCCATAATTACCCCCAGTAAACACTCGAAACTACAATCATAATCTTATTATTACCATTATTCCACTCTACCACTCCTTTGTGGCTATTATTTTGCCACGTGTCACACTTATCCGCCAAACCGACCGCCCTTCTCTGTCATTTTGCACCGTTCTCCAGAAAACCCCAGAGAAATGATTGGTCGGTTGTGATTATTATTTTAAAAAAAATTAATTACTAGAAAATACCCTTTTTTTTTTCTTTTCATTTTAAATGGGTCCCGTTATTTTCATCACTAAATTCACTTGCGTTGCTATTTATAACCCTACTCCTCCTCACCGCTTTCTTCACTACTGCCATTGGCTAAAGACAACCGCAGCCCACCGCCGCCGTGAGAAACAGAGGAGTTTAGAGAAATGGAAGGGAAGGAAGAAGATGTGAGGCTCGGAGCCAACAAGTTCAACGAGAGGCAGCCGATTGGGACGGCGGCGCAGAGTCAGGACGATGCTAAGGACTACAAGGAGCCTCCGCCGGCTCCACTGTTCGAGCCAGAGGAGCTGACTTCATGGTCCTTTTACAGAGCCGGTATCGCGGAGTTCTTTGCCACTTTCCTCTTCCTTTACATCACCGTTTTGACTGTCATGGGCGTCGTCCGGTCCAATGAAGCCAACGGCAACACGTGCAAGACCGTTGGAATTCAGGGCATCGCTTGGGCTTTTGGTGGTATGATTTTTGCGCTGGTTTATTGCACGGCTGGAATCTCCGGTGGACACATCAACCCAGCGGTGACTTTTGGGCTTTTTCTGGCGAGGAAGCTGTCGTTGACCCGGGCGATTTTCTACATGGTGATGCAGTGCCTAGGAGCCATCTGCGGCGCCGGGGTTGTGAAGGGCTTCCAACCCAAGCCCTACAACAGGCTCGGCGGTGGTGCTAACATGGTCAGCAAAGGGTACACCAAGGGCGATGGCCTCGGTGCCGAGATTGTCGGCACCTTTATCCTTGTTTACACCGTCTTCTCTGCCACCGATGCCAAACGTAGCGCCAGAGACTCCCACGTTCCCGTAAGTAGAACAAAAAATTAAAATTAAAATCTAAAACATATATTGAGCTAAAACTGTAAGAATTCAAAATGTTTGAACAGATCCTGGCCCCGTTGCCAATTGGGTTCGCGGTGTTCTTAGTTCACTTGGCCACCATCCCAATCACCGGCACCGGCATCAACCCAGCCCGGAGCTTGGGTGCTGCCATCATCTTCAACAATGACAAAGCCTGGGATGATCACGTGCGTTGCTTAATCTTAATCTTAATCCTAATCCTAATCCTAATCTTAATTTGAACTTAATCTTAATTTTGATTAACTGCAGTGGATTTTCTGGGTGGGACCATTCATTGGCGCTGCTCTGGCAGCTCTGTACCACCAAGTTGTGATCAGAGCCATTCCGTTCAAGTCGAAGTGATACGTGATCGAATCATAGCCCTTCATTTCGTTTGTGTGTTTTGGTGTTTGTATGTTTATGGAGATTCGAAGCGTGGGGCCCTCAATTTGTAAGTGAATGGAGCGTGATGTGTAATTATGGATGTGTGTGTGGCTATGAAAGCTTGTATGGTCAATTTAAGGGGCAAAAAAAAATGGAGAAAATAATGAAACCCACTCTTCCACCTGCTTTCTTTGTGCGAATATTGGTAACGTAAAAGACAATTATAGGCCCTACTTCTCAACCCAATACTTTCGATCTCTATCGCTATTGCGGTGGCAAGCAGGATATTATTGTATATTAATGCTTCTTTTTTTTTTTTTTTTTTAATTTATTATTTTTGGAAATAAATAATAGTGTGATGACAATGAAATATAAATAATGGGAAGCGATAAGATTGAATCAATAATTAATTCTCAAGACTTTGTTTTTTTTATAAAATTAGCTCATTAACTACCTCTTTTTTATTCTTTAAAAAAAAAACCGCTAATAAATCAATTAGACAAAATACCCTTACGTTTAGCTCTTATGATTTAATTATTTTCTTTTTCTTATCGAAGTGAATCAACTAATACACTCTCGGAGTTCTCGTGGTTTAGTAATGTGTGTGGTAGTTTAGATTCTACTCTCTCTCTCTTAAAGCTACAACATCTCACCCATCCTTGCATTGGCTTTGCTATCAATGCATATTATTCTATGAACTCTTTTACCACGTCCAGAAATAGTATGCTTACAACATAGTTGAAAAATTGAGTCTTTATACTTCTTAGTAATTTTTATACCTCCCTCCTCCCACGGTTCTTAACTCGAAACATAGTTATTTCGTACAAAGATAGTGAAATATAAAAAAAGAAAAAAAAATCAAGAAATTGGGAATCAAACAAAAAATAGATATCCACTAACTCTTTAAATCAATAACATATTAAATATTTTTTTTAATTCTGAAATTAAAAATAAAAAAAAAAACAATATTTCACAAACAGACTTAACTAAAGCTATAAAACCTAAAAAAAAGGAGAACATAATTGGTAAATATCTTCCTCTTACATATATGAGAGGAACACAACTCTCTACCGTAGTAGAGAGTTGTACACTTTGAGTATAAACTCTCGTGGCTTTATTTTGGGCTTCTCAAAAAATCTTCATACCAATCGAGATAGTATTCTTTGATTATAAATCCTTGATTATAAATCCATGATCATTCCCTAAATTAACCAATGTGGGATATTCATCATCCGAACACGATCATTGTTGAATCTCTAGTTAACCACATGCAAGTAAGCTTCTCCTTACAATAATCCAATTTTCCCTTGACTACGAAGTCAAGGCAAAGGATTTATATCCTAAAGTTCTGATGGGCTGGGCTTAGGTCCAGGAGGCTTATCCCATTTATTCCATTGGGCTTTTTCCGGCCCACAACGTTAATTTAAGAAATGATTTCAATTTAGTTACATATTGAGAAAAATATGTATCTTTTTAATTTTTATTGGTTGAGTATTTTTTTATTAAAAAAAAAAAGGTAAGCATAACAGAATTCGTTTCCGGAACAAGTTGCGTCACGTCCGGCACACGTCTCAAGAAGTTCATCGGATAGACTCCATGGACTATTATTTTCGTATTTACTTTTATACCCTCATTCTAAAAGGGTAAAATGGTCAAATTTCCACATTTGTCCAACATTTTCTTTTTTTCTTTTTTCAGTTTATAATAAATTTTAATTTAAAATACAATACTTAATTCAGTCCAATTATATTAAAATTGATATATTGATGCCTCCAATGGATATTCTTACAAAAATAACATTAACAAATCATAATATTTATCATTAATTTTATTTTCATGTTTGAGTAATTTTTGAAGGATTGCAATGTCAATTCAATGTCGTATGAAATTATTTGCATATCTAAATTTAATGCATATTTCTTATATCTTTTTAAATGTTGAAAATAAAAAATATAATTAGTTCATTTTAATTTGAAATTGTAAAGATTCACATTTTGAATAATATAGAGGTTGAAAGTTGGACATTTGATTTGAAGTTTGAGCACATGAATAATGAAGAACCAATAAATTGATTTTTAATCAACAACCCATTAATTAAAACCTGCCCTTTCCCTCAATTTATTAGAAAATAATGCGTTATTTCCCATCTTCAAGTCGTCGAGATTTTCTCACATAGCTAAGGCCATCGAAATGTCAATTTCATTCGGGTAGAACACAGCCAAAGTCGTACATGGTTCCTCTCCAAATAAGTTTGAGTTAGATCTCTCTGTTTCCCGTCAATGCTCCGGTGCACTTTCCCGGGAAATTAATAGCGCTTTTGCTTCAGTTTCTGTCCTCTGATATACCCTTTTTTCGCTTTCTCGTGTTGGGTTTTAGCGGGAAAGTATGTCGGATGCGTTGATCAATGGATTGGCAGGAGCTGGAGGAGGGGTCATTGCTCAACTCATCACATACCCTCTTCAAACTGTAAAATCTTCCACTAAATTTCATGTTTATAGACCCCGAAATTTTATTGGGTTGTTGAATTCAAGAGGCGTTTGGTTTGTTCTGCAGGTGAATACTCGGCAGCAAACAGAACGCGATGTGAAGAACGAGAAGAGGAAACTTGGAACATTGCAGCTCATGTGTCAGGTGCTTTCAAAATTTCCTTGTCTACAATATTTGATATACTGTTCTTGTTGGAAAACCATGCTGCTGATTTCCGAACTCAATTCGAGCAGTGGCAGTATAAATGTCTGCCTAATGGGTGGGGAAATGACTTCTTTGATTGATTCGTGAACAGGTTGTAAAACATGAAGGATGGGACCGGCTGTATGGTGGCTTGGGGCCGTCTCTGGTGGGTACGTCCGTGTCTCAGGTGAGAACCCATTTGATTGGTCTACTTGATACTATGATATCATACACTTCCAAATTTTAATGATAAAGTGGGTTTTGTTGATATATGATCTTTGTTAGGATTAGAAAATGCAATTCTCTTTCTGTTGGATGGAGGTAGATGGAAGGGGGGGAACTCTTGGTTCAACGTAGATTTTCAATTTTCTTTGTAATTTGGACTCCTAGATTTTCAGAATGTGAAGATTATATAGGTACAAAGAATTAGAGAAAGAGCAGTTTCAATCTGTTTTGTATATTTAGAAGGCAACAACTTGTGTTTCTAAGCATCCAATTCATTCATTGTCAGTGATGAATGACATAGAAATGGCAGAATGTTAACCTTGTTACTTATTCTAGGAGGGAAAATCTACATTGATATATGTTTAGCTTTTCTGTATTGCCCATTTGGGTCCAGTAAAGAACAAGTTTGTGTTCTTTATTTACATCCATGACATCTTACATTTGAACAAACATTTTTCTTGGGTACAGGGTGTTTACTATTATTTCTACCAAATATTCAGGAGCAAGGCTGAAGCTGCTTCTCTTGAACGAATGAAGGCGGGGATTGGAGACGGATCAGTTGGGATGCTTTCCTCTCTTCTGGTGGCTGCTGTATCTGGGTTTGTTAGTAGAGTGGTTTTGATTTGAGTTCCTTATGATTTACATCTTCCTAGTAAACACCTTCGGTGAGATCCCACATCGATTGGAGAGGAGAGCGAAACATTCTTATAAGGGTGTGGAAACCTCTCCCTAATAGACGCGTTTTAAAACTCCAAGAGAAAACCCAAAGAAGACAATATTTGCTAGTGGTGGGCTTGGGCTGTTACGAATGGTATCTGAGCCAGACATCGGGCAATGTGCCAACGAGGATGCTGGCCCCCAAAGAGAGTGGATTGTGAGATCCCACATCGGTTGGAGAGGGGAGCAAAGTATTCTTATAAGGGTGTGGGAACTTCTCCCTAATAGACGCGTTTTAAAACCTTAAGGAAAAAGTCCTTGAAGGGAAAAGGGATACTGTAGACAAGAAAGCGGATGAAAAGCAATGAGATTAAACATAGGAGAATTTCGATTGCATCCTATGTTTGCAGATCTTGCGTCCATTTTCGAATGCATTATTCCATTATATTTAATTATCTACTTCAGCCAAATTAAGCCTTTTCAAATGCAACTAAAATAGGTCGCAAAACATCTGCAATATTCAGTTTTTTATTATTTCCCTTCTAATTTCTCTACAATATTTTGATTCTTTAGGTGTGTTAACGTACTGTTGACAAATCCGATATGGGTGGTTGTTACACGGATGCAGGTAATGATATAGTTATGTATTCTTCATGTTGCCCTTAAGGGTTGAGAATAGTATCTAAGCCCTTTTGGATTCAATTCAGTAACTTGAATATAAACCTCTAGTGATAGCCTTGCCTTTATTTTCTCTACTACTAAGTGTTGGTTGTTCTTCTGCTTCTTCTTGTAAGCCCTGCTCTGGCTTTGCATTTTCTGGTTCCTTAGTCGTTCGGATTCTTCGATTCATCTTAATGAAAGTTGGTTTAAAGAAAAAGATGGGGGCTAAAAATCTTAAAGCTATTCCTTGTATCTGTGTACATCCAAAATTCTATTTAATTGCACTTATTGATGTTGGTTTTCCTCAAGATCATCGTAAACTAAACTACTGTAAGTAGCAGTTTCATGATTTTAAAATTTTTAAATGACAACATTTGTGTTTTAATTCTTCAGACACATAAAAAGGTCTCAAAGCCGTCTCTACCTGGTGGAGCACCTTTGACTCCTCTGGATGAAACTGTTCCGGCAGCAGTCAATCCTCCTTCCTACAGAACCACTCATGCTGTAAGTAAAAAAATATCCATGTACTAGTTTCCTTAGTAGTTATGAATCCTTTGTTGCATGAATGAAGGCAGACATGTTTTATCTGGACTGAACTGCTTAAGTAATAGTCAGCTACTATAGTTTCTTAGTTATAACGTATGAGATCCCACATTGGTAGAGGGTAACAAAACGTTCTTTATAAGGGTGTGGAAACATCTCTCTAGCAGACACGTTATAAAATCGTGAGGTTGACGACGATATACAATGGGACAAAGCAGACGATATTTGCTAGCAGTGGGCTTAGACTGTTACGAATGGTATTAGAGCCAGACATTGGGCAATGTGTCAATGAGGATGTTAGGCTTCGAAGGGGGTGGATTGTGAGATCCCACATCGGTTAAAGAGGGGAACGAGTGCCAGTGAGTATGCTGGGCCCCAAAGGGGGTAGATTAAAGATTCCACATTGGTTGGAAAGGGGAAAGAAGTATTCTTTATAAGGGTGTAGAAACTTCTCCCTAGCAGACACGTTTTAAAACCGTGAGGCTAACGACAATACGTAACAGGCCAAAGCGGACAATATCTGCTAGCGCTGGGCTTGGGCTGTTGCATAACGATTTCTTGGTAATTAGTTTTTCTTTTCTCTGTTGTGTCTGCTAGAATTGGTTTTGGATATGTAGATCCATAGTTGTAACGATCCAGGCACACCGCTAGCAGATATTGTCCTCTTTGGGCTTTCCCTTTCGAGCTTCCCCTCAAAGGTTTAAAACACGTCTACTAGGAGAAGGTTTCCACACTCTTATAAATGATGTTTTTGTTCTCCTCCCCAACCAACGTGGGACATCACAATCCACCCCCTTTCTGGGCCCAGCGTTCTCGCTGGCACTCGTTCTTTTCTCCAATCAATATGGGACCGTCACCAAATCCACCCCCTTCAGGCCCCAGCGTCCTTACTGGCTCATCGCCTCGTGTCTACCCCCTTCGGGGAACAACGAGAAGGCTGGCACGTCGTCCGGTGTCTAGCTTTGACACCATTTGTAACGACCCAGGCCCACCGCTAGCAGATATTGTCCTCTTTGGGCTTTCCCTTTCGGGTTTCCCCTCAAGGCTTTAAAACGCGTCTACTATGGGAAGGTTTCCACACCGTTATAAATGGTGTTTTTGTTCTCCTCCAACCAATGTGGGACATCACAATAGCCGCTCGTACAATATGGTTATTCAGGCTTCTGATCATAATTAGATTCTATGGAATCTAGTATTTAAAAGGACACACCACAGGTTCTTTTTTGGGTTGAGTTCTTATCCGTTTGACCGAAATGGGGCATGCGGTGAGAATTTCATATTCATGAGAAGTTCCCTTCTCCCTTTAGTGGACAAATTTTTAGTGACATCTGAATGGTTGTCCCAGAGTAGCTGAAAATAATGACTGCTAGCAGCTGTCCCTCTGAAGTAAACCGATTGCTCAAGATTGAAAAGACTAACTGATATCTCTTAAGCCCCAAACCTAAAAGCACTACTCATTTTCTCTTTTTATATCTTTCAGCTCTAACTTATTAGTAAAGTATGTTTTTTCTCTCATTGAAGTTGTCTCTTTTTCGTTTTATCATGATAAACAGACTTGAATCTGGATATATTTGACCAAGTTTTTTTCTTCAAAAACATGAATCGATATTTCAGATTCAGGAGCTTTATGATGAAGCTGGAATCAGGGGTTTCTGGAAAGGGGTAATCCCAACATTGATCATGGTACGTGTGGGAAAGAAACTTTTGAGTTGATGCATGAGGAAACATTACTAAATATTCCTTTCTTGATCACAGGTTAGCAACCCTTCTATACAGTTCATGCTGTATGAAACAATGTTGAACAAGTTGAAGAAACAACGCGCCTTACGTAAAGTTGGCAGTGGAGTTACTGCATTGGAGGTAACCTTTACCCTCACCTGTAATTCTCATCGTCACCGCGTGTTGACTACAAGCCAACACATTTGGTTACTTGTGCAGATATTTCTACTTGGTGCCTTGGCAAAACTTGGAGCTACTGTAGTCACCTATCCTCTTCTAGTTGTGAAGGTATTTCGATAATCGTAGAAACAAAAGCTTGCGAAGAAAATAGTTTAAAAACATTTGATGCGTTCGTAAATACTTTTTCATATTATGTTCGAACGTTGATTCGTGTTTATTTTTCTCTAGCATGCATTTGTTTAAATTATCTCATCGAAGTTGTTCTCTTTTCAGGCTCGGCTTCAGGCAAAACAGGTGGTGGCTGGAGACAAAAGACATCAGTACAAAGGTTTGTTATTCGGAACATAGTATCTTCCGCCATTAAAAAGTAGTGGCTAAAAGATGAAAAACACGATTATTCGAAAATGAATAAGAAGGGAAAATCACCAGTTGGCGTAGTTGGCCATTTTAGTTATATGTGTGAGCAAGGAAGGTTTCGAGAGACGAATCGGTTGGCCTAGGTTGTTGTTTTAAACTCACCGCAGCTACCAGCGTAGGTCGCAAGTTCTTATATTGCTTGTATCCTTCTGCATTGTTCTCTGGTGTAAGTCACCAATGTTCTTGTCCTGCAAATTGATCTTACACTTCTTATCCAGGCACATTTGATGCCATCATCAAAATGATCCGATACGAAGGAGTATACGGATTTTACAAAGGGATGGGCACGAAAATCGTCCAGAGTGTTCTGGCTGCTGCAGTCTTGTTCATGGTGAAGGAAGAACTGGTTCGGAGTACTCGATTCCTTCTCACCAAGGGTGCCATTGGCAGAGCAAACTCAAAGCCTCAATGATTTGATAATGCTTATATGACTCCATTACAGGTCTTTAAGAAGCTATCCAAGGCTGCAATTTCTCTCTACAATCTTTCCTATTCATCTTAGTGAAGTATTCTTAACCAAACCCTTATTGGAAATTGTTAGGAAATTTGTGTCCTGGAAAAATAGGCATAAGATTTGTTTGAAAAATAAGAATACATAAACTTGATCTTATTGTATTTTGGGATTATATTATATAGTTACTTTCATATTAATAAATTATACTCATAGTCTAAATTTAGGAGGTATATCAGTTTATTCACGTATCATTTCTCTAATATTATTTTAAAATTCGAAGAAATTAGTATTAATTGATTTTTTTATAATATTGTACTAAAAAAATAATTAAAAAAAAAAAAACTCAACCTTTAAATATTCACTAACCCTAATCTTATTATTATAGAATACAGATTTAGAAAGATTCCAAAGACATAATGTTATCTTTTCAAATTTTCTAAAATTAAATTTATTTAGGGTTAGCAGATTAAGCAAACAAATTAGGAGAATTTAAAATAATTTATGAAATTAGTTTAATGACTAATTTTATTTATTTATTTATTTATTTATTTATTTATTTTTATCAATAACCAAATTTGCAATTTAATTTTTCTTTTAAAGAAAAAATATCTCTCTTTCTCTGAAGTCAGACAAACCCATTTTCAGTTCGCAGGCGGCGAGGAGAACTGAAACCCAAAGATATCAAAAAATGGCGACCAAAAACGCGAAGAAGGCCAATCTCCTGGATCACCACTCCCTCAAACACCTACTCGACGAATCCGTCTCTGAGGTAATTGAATCGATAATACTCGCTTTCTTCAGATCCTCTTCGCGTCAATTTTTCTCTAGGTTTCTTTCTTTCTCTCTGAAATCCACCTTTATTTGCGCGATGCGTTGCAGATTGTGACGAGTCGCGGGTATGTTGAAGACGTGAGGTTGAGTAATGTCAAATTGATTATGGGCACTGTCATCATAATCATAGCTTTGGTCGCTCAGTTTTACAAAAAAAAATTCCCTGAGAATCGCGATTTCTTGATCGGCTGCATTATATTATATCCTTTTTCTTTTCGTATGATCATGGTTTGTCTGAATTGCGCGTTTTTAGTTCAGATCTCCCGTTGAGGGATTGAATTTCATTTTTTTGATTCCGTTATTCAATGGGAATGTATATTGGGTTAAATGGTGGATGTTTTCTCTTCTTTCCACTTTATTTTCTGTTGTCATATACATGTTCGGGCGCAGAAGCGTGTTGTACGATGAATTTGACGTCATTTTCTTAGTTTACTAGGTCTTGTTTCGTTTAATGAAAATGTAAATGTAGATGTTTTTTCTGGTGCTCTCATGTGATCTTTAACTCTGGCAAGTATGTAGTATTTAACGGGATCTTGCAGTTTATCGTCTACACCAAGGAGAAGAACGCAATTTTGTTCACCTATCCTCCTGCGGTAAGTTTGTTTAACTTCTAGAACATTTGTGTTTTCTAGCCCATTTTTATGTCTATGACCACTAAAGAAAGCATTAACATCATGATTATATATAATTGTCGTGCATTGTTTTTGGGGCTCTTGAGATATGCAATGTCTATTTGGCTACATTTTAGGGTTTCTGATATAACAAGCTCAAAGAACCACAAAAGTTCTACGAGCATTGCCGAAGATGTACGTTTTTTTTTTTTCTTTTTGGTTCTATCATCTATGCCTAACTTGCGTTTAGAATGAGTTTTGACTTCAGAATAAGCTTGGCAAAACTCTTCAGGTAGTTTACTGTCTTCTGGATGGTTAGCAGTTTCGAGTACATGTGGAGCATGAATTGCTTGGATTCATGTGGAGCCATGTTGGGGATGGCTCAGGTATTTATTTTTGGGAGGACCATTGGGTGGGCGATAAACCTCTTTGCATTTCCTTTTGGAGAAGAGGTTGTATTCAGTGGTCTCTGTGTTATCCCATCCTTCATCATTTCCTTCAGTTTTTGGTGTCCTCTTATTGGTAGGGAGGCGGTTGATTTGATGAGTCTCTTTCTATCTTTTTTCATTTGTTTATTATTTCTGGGAGGAGGGATGTATGAGTTTGGACCCTTGATCCTTCTAGGGGTTCCTCCTGTCATTTCTATTTCCACTCTATGTCTCTCTCCCATGCTTCAGTTGATGCATTGGAGGCTTCTATCTTTTTCCTCTCTCTAGAAGGTTAAAATTCCTAAAGAGAAGATTTTTTTTTTTTTTTTTTTTTTTTGCGTGATAAGTTTTATTTAGGAAGGTTAACACTTTAGATCATGTTCTAAGACACTCTTCCTTAGTGTTGTACCTGCAATGGTGTATCCTTAATGGAGACATGTGAGGGACTTTTGGCTCATGCTTTGGGAGTGCCAGTTTGCTAACAACCTCTGGGATTTTTGGAGGAGATCGCTTGGGGTAAGTGGGGCGTGTGATAGAGATGGACATTCTATGTTGGAAGAGGTGCTTATGCATCCTCCTTTTAGGGGATGAGACATTTGTGGTAGGCTAGCTTCTTTCCAGTGTTGTGGGGTATTTGGCATTGGAACAATAGGATTTTTGAAATGAAGAGAAGAAAAGTGAGTATGGTTTGGAGATCGTTAGATTTAACGTCACCTTGTCGGCGTCGGTCACTAGGTCATTTTGGGCTTGTTTTTTTATATGCCCTTGTATTCTTCCATATAGTCAATAAAGTTTGGCTTCTTAAAAGAAAAAAAAAAAAAAAAAATCCCAGCCTTTTAGAACAAAGGTGATTTGAAAGGTTATTTGTGTAATTTGTTCTGAAGCAACCTTTTCCCTTTCTCTTTTAGTTTGTTCTCCTAGATAATACGTTGTTTGGATAAGACAGATATGATACGTTTTTAGAATAACCAAAGTTCTTACCTCCAATTTCATCGGCTTGTGAATAACAATTGCAAGTTTGATCTTTTCTAGTTGCCCGAAAGCTATTCATACAGACAATTTTGATAACAGAAAAACAGCGAACTGCCTTTTAGAACAGTTCTTGAGTTCTGCTCTGCACTTTTATGTTAAATTTCGAACTGTCCCTTGTCAAATGGCACTGAAGTTATTCACTGGGTTGGTTTTCTCCGTTGATAAATTTTTCCGAGTAAAATGCGACATTTCAGAAGAATCAAACTCTTTGCCTCTCAGTGACTAGTAATCTGGAAGTTTTCTTTTAGCCTTTTTTTCTTCTTCTGGAGCTATTGTATATTGTATTAAATCAGTGTCCTTTCATTTTTGGAGTTTGTTATTTGGATATTTCTGGGGGTTGGGAGGAAAGGAGGGTTACGGTTATGTTTTTTTCTCTTCTCATTTTAAGGATGATAATTGAATGACATCATGTGTACTTAGGTTCTAAGAATCTCGGGACAATTTGGATTCTGCATCTTATAAAGTAATAATGGCCAATTCTATTTATGCATGAAAATGATCCTGCTTTCTGAAACTACATACATGCTGAACTTGTTGAGGTCATTGGTAATCTTGTGTTGCAATTTCTCTGCACACAGGGATCCTTCACCAGCACAGGATTGGTAGTCTCTTCAAAATTGCCCAGATTCTCTGATCTGTATACACTGAGCATATCTAGTTCAGACCCCGAATCAATCTCCGCTAATAACCCTGTGGAATTTACCAAGAGTGTCACCCGGTGGTCTCTTTCTTTCTCTACACTATTCTAGAATCTAGTTTCTAAAATATTTACTGTATAACCAACCCAAAATATACCATCTTTGCAGGTTCACTAAGGATGGAGTTTTGGTTGAGGGTCTCTTCTGGAAAGATGTTGAAGCACTGATCGATGATTATGCAAAAGAACCGAAGAAGAGCAAGTGATTTCTTACACAAACCTCGTATTATAGGGGATCTTATGTTCGAGGAAAGTAACTGCTTTCAATTTTTATTGTGCTTTATAGATCCCCAGAAGATATTACTTATCGTTTCCTTGATTAATAGACTTTAGAAGCTAAAACAGGATGATCCCACATTTCTCTAATCTCTTTAATGCATTAATAGGAATACTTTCTGAAAGTCTTTTCCCATATGAAAACAGCAAGTGGCATGGCTGTTTGAATTCAACACTTCGAATGCTGTGAGAAGGTGAAAATGTTTCCTTTTCATTCTAACTAATGGGAGTTTTTTTTATATGCTTCTTGAACGTCTTCCCAATCCTTAAAAGTTAAATTTTCACCCCTTGATGATTGCTTTGATGAAAATTCTGTGTAGTAGTTTTCGAACATGTCGAGTCGAGAATGTTTATGCATCCCTGAACCATGAATTCAAGGAACAGATAAATATTTATTCTAGAAGGTTTCTTATGCGAATTAAACTCAGAAAACCATTCCCGAGCCATACACATATCAATACCCATATTCTCACTGTTCATACTCATTGCCCTTTCCAACTTTATTTTCTTTCCCAATTTTATTCATTACATTCAATTTCCCTCGTATATATATATATATATATGAAGGTAAAAAGCAAAAAGAGTATGATTTAATGAATTAGCTTATAATGGTAAAAAAAGGGTTAGAATTTGATGAGGTAATAGCATCAACAATTCAATAATTATTTTGTCACATTCAATTATTTATTGCAAAAAGGCTTCCCATCTCCCTTTCAAAACAAATCTAATTCTTAATTAAAACTAGAATTGGTTTCTGTGCTCTTCTCCACTCAATTTGAATATTCTCAAATAAATAAATGTGTGAGAAATCATATTCTAAAACCAAAATTATATAAATTTATTATTATTATTATTATTATTATTATTATTGAATTGTGGGAAATTAGAAGAATTAATCAAAGTGGAGTGCACCGATTGTCAAAAAGCTTAAAAGTGATTAATTATTATTCCCTAATCTAAATATTTATATAATTTAATTCAAAAGAAAAGCACCCATTACCCATTTTTCTTTGTTTTTTGGGTCAAAATTGTACGAAAGATAGGGTTTACTTTCTTCTAATTAATTAAGCATCTAATTCTATTTTTTTTCTAATTCAGAATCTATTTTTTTTTTAATTTTAATTACATCTTTTTACTTTAAATTATGTACTTATTTTCACGTTAAATGTGACATTGTACACAAAATCGACATAAAATTATTTTATTTAAATATTTATTTAAACAAATTAAATTATTTGTATTCTATCAAATTTTAAAAAGTACAATATATTCAAAAAGAAAAAATATTAATTATACAGACATTATTAACTTATTTTATAAATTATTAAATTTTTATTACTTTATCACACAATTTTATCGTTATTTTAGAAATTACAGCCTCGAGTATTTTATATAAATACATGAATGTGTGTTTTAAACATTTTTGGACTCGAATTTTTTCAAAAAATACGGAAAAGTTATTTTAGTATTTTTTTAAATAAACAATTAAATTGCAATAAATTCGAAAATCAATACATTGGCCACTAAATATTTTATTTTATTTTCTCAAATAATATTCTTTTGTACTCTCTTAAACAAATTAAAAGTTTCAATTTTTTTTTTGTTTGTATTTATTTTATTCTTTTTTTTAAGGAATATTAATAAATCTTTAAATTTTTAAAATTTATAAATTCATTAATACAATATGAAATACAAGTTTTGATTAATCAAAAATTTAATTACAAATTTAATACGTCAATTATTTTAAAAATATAATTTTAAAGTTGAGATGGAAAGGGAAAAGAGGATTACGTAGCAAGATATAATTGAGACGAATAATAACAATAATAATAATATTTGCGTCCAAATCCATTTTTTTGGATAGAATAAGAGATTCTAAGGTCCAATAAGGAAAAATAAAATAAAATATGCTTATATAATATAGTCAAGTTGAAGGCAATATATTAATATATATATATATATATTATAGGGTAAGGACAATTAATAATGCACCTATTTATGACTTTGGTTTATAATAGTCAAATAAAATAATAATGGAAGTTGTTTTGCAATAAAATCAATATCATAATTACACCTTCTTTCAATCGAACTGCCCAACAACTCCTTTTGCATTCTTAATTTAATTCTACTTTCTTTTTTATTACATTTTTCTAAATTTTATTATTTATTTAAAATTTAATATATGTCACGAGAGTCAAACCGAGTCCTTGCAAAGAAAAGAGAGGGCTAACCATTGGTGTGGTTCTACGTCATCTGCACTCCAACACTCGAGCAGATCAATGAATTTGAGAAACAAAATATGGTGGGATCAACGCTTCACTGAAGATGTCTTTAGACTAATACATGTGAGATGAACACAGTGGCTGACCGTGAAAATCAAATGACATTCGTTGAGGTCTAAGTGGATTTCAAGTTTTTTAAATACAAAAAGAAAAAGAAAATTCATTTGTCATAAGAATATAGTTTTGAAAAATAATGATTTTAAAAATACATTCAACTTTAAAAAAAAAATAAAACACTCAAAGATGTTTAGCTACTAAAAGTATAATTAGCTTAAGAGCGTTTATAAAACCAAGATTAGTCATTAATTTATTCTGAACCAATGATTAATCATTAATCTATTTAACATTCTAGACATATATCTATATGTCTATTCATAGTTAGTTCGATATCATATTAAGTTTTGTCAAAATTTGTCTTTATTCTCTTTTTAAGATATGATGGGTGGTTATTAATTTTCTACTTTTATATTGATTAGATGCGAAAGAATATTATGCGTATTTTATGTAAAAAAAATAAAAAAACTTACATGAATCCAAAAAAAATTTCAACAAATTTATATAAACCCTAATTCTACCTCCAATGGAAAGAGTTTAAATTGTACCATTTTACTTCCAAGATTATCACTTTTTGGACCCATTACTCATCCAGCTTTATCTATAATTTTAAATATTTTAAATTGAAATTAATTAAGAAAAAAAACATAAATAATATGACAATATCTATATTTATATTAAATCTTTTGAGGAAGGTAAAAGTAGAGTCACAGAACTTATACTCAAATGAGTTAGTATCATATTTTTTTTGTACGTGTAAATTTCACCAATCTTAGCTATACTATGTGGAGTGGAATGATAAATTCATATGATTGATGTGTACCACCTTCCACAACAGCAACCTATGACCTTTGAGATCATGGTTAATGCTCGAGTTACATACAACTATATATTAACTAAGACTAACGTACAGAAGCTTATGATAATGGTCGACTCAATTGTGACGAGTTTGATAGAGGGTAACCCTGGACCATGGGTGGAGAGTGAAGGGGGGGTAATAGGAGTTGTTATGGGCTAAACAATCTTAAGTAATGAATTAAATTAAAAAGAAAAAAAAAAAAAGAAGAGAAAAAAGAGGAGAAAATTTCTATATTGGTGTTGTAAAGTTAACGGGAGAAGTAAAAGTAGGAAGGGGCAAGAATTAGATAGGGAGAGGTGCAGAGTAAGGAGGCAATGAGAATAGGCCACGTAAGACAGGAAGGGCCAGTAATCAGCATCTAACGCATCTCAGCTTTTGGAACGCTGAAACCCTATTGGTGAATTATATATCCTTGTCGTTTCTTCTTTTGTCTACTTCCACCACTCTCTTCATTTTCCCATTCCCGAAAACCCCCTTTTCTTTTTTCTTTTCCTCCTCCTCCTCCTCCTCCTCCTCTTCCTCTTCCCCGTCTTCTTCTTCTTCTTCTTAACCATTTTAGTTAACTCTTCTAGGTCTGATCCAATCCCCACTTCTCTCTATTCTTCCATTCTCCTCCTCCTCGATGCTTCCCTCCGCCGATCTCCGCCCTCCCTTCTCCCTCTTCAGACCCTACATCGCCTCCATCATCCGTCGGCTTCCGACTGCTGGGTCCGCTGATTTCTTCTCGATCCGATTCTCTCCTCCACTTCTCTGACTCCTCCAATTCACCTTCGCGGATCCTGTTTCCGGCATCTTCACCTTCATTCTATCGGGGAGTTTTCTAGATTGTTTTTAGTCCCTAACGGATTGTCAACTGTCTTCTCTTTTTAACCGTCGATTTCAGGAGTTTTGTTTTTGTTTTACACGTAGCTTAATCTTCTTTTCTATTTTTGGGAGGGGGATTTTATTTTATTGTGTGTTCCAAGAGTTGTATATCCGGCTGACTTTTGTAAGAATTTTAGTTTGAGAGATGGATCTTTAAGCCACAACTTGGAGTTCTTGATATTCTGATTCTACTTGGAGTTTGGAGTTGAGGAGTATTTTAGGACTGCTGAGTGTTGTTTGAATTAAATCCGAGTTATGGAGGAACGGAACGTTTGTAGAATGAATACGGGGTTGTCGGATGTGGTTCTTGGCTGTGTAATGCCCTATATTCATGACCCCAAAGATCGTGACGCTATCTCTCAGGTTTGCCGGAGATGGCACGAACTGGATGCGCTCACTCGCAAGCACGTTACCATCGCTCTTTGCTACACCACCACGCCCGAACGGCTACGACGGCGGTTTAACCATCTCGAATCCTTGGAATTGAAGGGCAAACCCAGGGCGGCGATGTTTAATTTGATACCGGAGGATTGGGGAGGGTTTGTGACCCCTTGGGTGAAAGAGATTGCTGATTCTTTCAATTGCTTGAAGTATCTCCACTTTCGCCGTATGATTGTCGTCGATTCGGATCTGGAGGTTCTTTCTCGTGCACGTGGCCGTGTTCTTCACTCGCTTAAACTCGATAAGTGCTCTGGATTCTCCACCGATGGACTATTTCATATTGGACGATCCTGCAGGTATCTGGCTTCCAAACCATCTTCAAGATTTTAAATCCAGATTTCATCTGTTTTGTAGTTCAGGCTCGGTATCAAATTCAGTGTACTATGGAGAATTTTGAGATAATTTCTACCTTCTGTTCTGGGATTTGTTAAACCTTAAATTTCTGGCCATTGAAATAATTTGAGATGCTGAGAACGAATTAATGTTCATTCAGGGTCAGCGATGACTAATAAAAGCTCAAACCACCGGATAGTTTCTATTAATGTTTTACTTTTATTTTTGGTTTACTTGTTAGTATTACTATCATTATTTCGTTTGTTTCCTTGTTCTTGTCGTTGTGGGGTTTCCATTTCTTTTTC